TTTCATTTATTTTAGGCTACTTTCGATTAGCCTACGTTAACGAAAGGGGTACAAGAAGGAACAACTTGCTTAAACACAGCACAAAATAAAACAACTTCTAAAATGACTGGGGAAAAAAGTAAATTTTCTTTCTTCCTAAGTATATCTAAGGCTAACATCACTTAAAATGATCTAAACATACATTCGTTTGTGCACGGGGAAGTAGCCTAAATATGTATTGATTGGCCAGAAAAGGACTCCAGAGAATGAAGAATGAGCTCCACATTGGATAATCCGCATTGAGATAATCAACAGTCAAATGAACAGCCACCAGCACAGACAAGCCTTAATGAGTGAGAGTTCACCATGAACACAGTCACCTCAGGAGCAATAAACACACATTCTTTTTTCTTTTCTTTTTTTTTTTTTTTTTTTAGCAAACAGCCACCTTAGTGAACATACATTTTATTAAGTTCATACAAAGAAGGGTTATGCAAGCTGAACTTGGCAATGACTGCCAAATCCTGGTTTTGTCAAAGTATGGGAAGGAGTCTAAGAATGGTGGAAGCTTTTATGAAGAGCAGATCCTGGAACTGACACCAGCCTTTATTTATTTTTATTTTTTAAAAATATATTTTATTGATTTTTTTGCAGAGAGGAAGGGAGAGGGATAGAGAGTTAGAAACATCGATCAGCCACCTCCTGCACACTCCCTACTGGGGATGTGCCTGCAACCAAGGTACATGCCCTTGACCGGAATTGAACCTGGGACCCTTCAGTCCACAGGCCGATGCTCTATCCACTGAGCCAAACCGGTTAGGGCTGACACCAGCCTTCAATTGCATGCTGCTAACATTCTTGGCTTTCAATTAGCCTGGTTAGGTACAAATTTATTGAAAAGTCAAGATCCTGATTCATCTTCCACCATCGGAGTTTATACTTATTTTATAGAAGGGAGGGGCAAAGAACAGAGACAAAGAGGGAGAAATTTATTCCTCAAAAAATAAAGTGAGCCCTGGCTGGATGGCTCAGTTAGTTGCAGGCACTTTACCTAGGTTATCAGTTCGATCCTTGGTTGGGGTGTGTACAAGAGGCAATTAATTGCTGTTTCTCTCTTTCTCTCTCCCTTCGTCTCTCTCTAAAATCAATAAACATATCCTCGGGTGAGGAAAAAAAAAAGAAACACAACAACAACTCCCCCCAAAAACTCTTTAAAAAATATAATTCTATATTTCTTAATTAGGAGAAATAAAAGGAGTGGGTTAGTGTAGTCCTAATATGTATTCTTTTAGTCCCCAAACCCAATTCTCTTGTCGTTTGCCTTAAAATATTTAGAGAGCAAACAAAACACAAACCAAAATAAGGCACAGCCTATGCAATATCTTGAGACTGTTGGGTGGAATACTTTTTCTCAACTACACGATTTTTAAAAATATCTCCTACAATAACTAACTTTTATTCAGTGATGGCTACTTTGCTCAGTGCTTTACATACTTTTTGTTTAAAAATAACATTTTCAGACAATGCAAAATGTAACTAGAATTACCACTTGCTTCTAAGCTGTCCCAAGCTTAGTTTTAAACACATGAATCAGAAGAGCTCCTCTTTTTTCTTTTTTAGTTTGTCTAAATGCCTGTTTGTCCACATTGTCAACTTCCTTGTTTACGGACTGTTCGGATTTGTGTGTTTTACAGTTAGCCAACTCGGTGGCTGCTATAAATCCTCCCAGAGAAGTCTCAGGGTGCACGCATGAGATTAACAGCAACAAAGGAGAATTCGTTGGTCTAGGACCCTTTCATTTCTCCCACCTCTCTGAAAATTCTATTATCTCTTTGAAAATGCTCTCCAAGAAAACAGAAACAGATCCTACTGAGGATGGGGTGAGGAGCAGTACGGCTGAGAAGGCCCTTTGAAGCAGAGCCCATCCTCTCTGCAGTGCGGTCGAAAAATTGCTCCTAGAGGCCTAAACATGAAATGAAAAAACACAGGAGATAAGGAAAACAGGGTCGCCTAAGCTTGAAGTATCCATCTCTTTTTCCCATGGGTTTCCCCTACCTTTTTCTTTTTTTCTTTTAAGGTCCTGTTAAACTTAAGAGACACAGCTACCTGTTAAAGATGCTGAGAGTCTGGATCATAAAAGACACGTTAAACGTTCTATTAGACTCCAAACCTCCTTTTAAAAATGCAAATCTAAATGCCATTTTATGGAACATCTATAATTATGAAAATGGGAAGGCAGTGCCTTGTGTGCGGGGAGAGTCTGCGAGTATGAATATTACATTAATGTGCCCACACCAGCTCACTGATCCTGCCGGCAGGAGCATAAAAAATGCTTGAGTGAAACTTTTATTTAGATGTTAAGACTCCAGGCCCCAGCGGGGTGACGGCGACAGTCCCTGTGAGTTGCCATCAGAGAGAGAGCTTGAATTGAATTACCCAGGGGGGAAGGAAGTAGTGATGAGCACTGCTTCGCTTATTTAATTTCATTTACTTTCAGTACATTATCAGCATGAGGCTTTTCTCTCCCCACCAACCGAAACCCAAGAATGCCGCCACCATGAACACAAAGACATCATGCGGCAGAGATGCTTGGACTTCGAGTCACCGATGCTGGGAGACTAGAGACAGCACCGTCACCGCCTTCCCTCCCCAACATCACCCCTGGCCAGGTTCTACAATCGGGCACTGAATGAGTTGCCGAATTTCCTTTCTTGGTCATTTACCAACAAGATTCTGAAGAGGAACAGAGCTGGAAATTGCAGTATTTTGTAAGATGTGTGAGGCTGCTTTCTTATTAGAGGGACTCTGTATTGATGAACGCTCTTGCCTGGTTTCTCCTGTGGGAAGTGGGAAACACGGGATTACAGGTGACGTTTGGAATGGCTACGGAAAAAAATGAGGAAACCAACTAAAATCAATCTCTATTCTTTTGATCGTTTTCCATGTGGCAGGGCGCTGTACAATAACAGAGTTGTTCTCGATGTAAAGTTGACTGTGAGCTCTATTTCATCAGCTCCATGGCTTATCAGATAAATGTAGACCAGCGGTTCTCAACCTGTGGGTCGCGACCCCTTTGGCGGTCAAACGACCCTTTCACAGGGGTCGCCTAAGACCATCCTGCATATCAGATATTTACATGACGATTCATAACAGTAGCAACATTACAGTTATGAAGTAGCAACGAAAATCATTTTATGGTTGGGTCACAACATGAGGAACTGTATTTAAAGGGCCAGAAGGTTGAGAACCACTGATCTAGACAACCAAAGTGGGGCGCCACTGTGGCAATCAAGCTATCTCCTCTTTCAGTGTCAGTTCAGGGTCCTACTGATGGAGAACTGATTACCCTGAGGGTGTACCGTTAGCCCCCGTCCTGGGGTGATGAGACAGGAGGTGTCTTGTAGGTCCGAATTGACACCTACTGGCAAGTGAACAGACCTGCAGAGTTACTTAATGCAGAATACAAGTATGTAAATGCCTTGCAGGAAGATAATAAAAATAGGAAGAAGCCACAAATAATTGCTATTTTAAGGCAGAAACATTTATACTTAAATAAGCAATTTTTTAAAAATTGAGGGCTTTTTTTTTTGTCCATTTCCTGAAAAAAGATAAGAAATGATTTAGATTTATTGGGAATGAATGGCCCTCTTGGATAAACCTTAGGGTGTATCACATTATATCAGCACAAAACAGAATTACATTAGTGTCATAATCTCTCTCTACCACGACACTTAACGAAAACTGTCAGAACAGCCTATAGAAAGGAAAGATTC